TCTTATGTAGTGTACAGACTCCCTAAGTTACTGTGACGCTCATGTGGGGTCAGGAGATTTTGGTGTGCTTGTTTCCTGACTATGCCAATCTTGGTCTAGGCAGAAGCCTTCTGGGGATGAATCTGAGTCTCAAATAGCAGACCCTGAGTTTTGGCTGCTGGCCCCAGGTGATATTTCAAAGTTGATGAAGATACTAGGCCCAGGGCTCAGGTACCTGCTCTGTTCCTGCTAGATATAGACCTGTACAGTGATTAGAAGTTCTCAATTCAAACTTCTGTGCTCCTCTTTCTTTTAAAAAAATATTTTATTCATTATTTTTATTTTACGTGAATGAATGTATTGTCTGCATGTATGTAAGCACATCCATGTCATGCAATGCCCGTGGAGATCAGAAGAGGGTGTCAGATCTCCTGGGACCGGAGCTATGGATGGTTGTTAGTGGCCATGTGAGTGCTGCGAACTAAACCCAGGTCCATCTGCAAGAGCAGCTTAGTGCTCTTAACCACTGAGCCATCTCTCCAGCCCCTCCCTCTTTTTGAAAGTTGAAAAACTCAACCAAAGAGATTTCGTGTTGCATTTATGTACAACTCCAGCATCACTTTAAGATCTAAGATTCTTTAGAACAAAAGGCTCTTGTGTGAACACAAGCAGTCTCCAATGCAACTCAGCTTCAAGGGAGAACAAGTGTTAATGGCTAGGGACAGTGGCCAACACTTGATTCAGTTCCCCAGGTACCAGGTATTGTTGCTGTGGGTATTGGGAGAAGGTGCAGAAGAGACACTGCCATAGTCATCAATAAAGACAAGGATAGGAACAGTCACATGTTCTGAGAGCTATGTGCCAGGCACTGTGCCCCCGGGGTCTTTTACTTGATAAGCAGTAGGGACTCTATGTCTATTAATCCAGTGAATTGCTTACCAGCTACAAGGCCTTTTTTTGGTTTCCTGGATGTACCTTACAGTCTTTGCATTTTCTCTTTCCTATCCAGAGGCTTTTTCCCCCCTCATGTATTTTCTTGGTTGGATCTCTCCCTTCTTTGAGGTTTTACTCAAAAGTGACCTTCTCATTGAAGTCTCTTTGGCACCTAATCTAATGCTATAACTCCCATCCCCATCCAGATCTCCCCTTTTCCACTTGCCCCTCCCCTCCCAGCATTTAGCACTACTTAGGATGCCATATTTGACTGATATGCTATTGCCTGGTCTCCCTTCCTAGCCCAAGAGTTCCAGGGGATGGGGACTTTGGACTGTTTGGTTCATTTGTGTATCCCCCTGGCCTAGGCCAGATACTCAAATCTGTTCAGTGTATGAATTGAATGGAAGAAATGCTTCCTTAGTATCTGTGGTGTAACCTATCTGATGATAAGCAGCAAGATAGCTCAGTAAACAAGACACACAAGAAGGCCTTGCCTTCTGGATAATAAGATAAGATAATAAACTAATTACACCCATGATGGACATTCTCCTGATTCAGAACACGCCACATGTTTCACAGATGTTTCACTAAAACCTCCCTAGAACTCTAGGTCTTGGGGACTATGAACCCCAGTGTAGAGAGGCTATCATGGCTTTTTGCTTTTAAACTAACTGAAAATACTCAGGTATGCTCTGAATGACAGAAGCCTGACTTTATTTAGTTGGCACACCTCAATGACAAATGTGTGTGTAACTTAAAATGGGCTTTTTGGTATTCATGAATTTTCCCAGGTTCTTTGAAATAGTCATGCTACTTTATAAGTGAGAAAAAATGGGGCCTAGAGAAGTTAAACAACTTACCAGAAACACCATACACATGAACACACACACATGAACACACACACACACACACACACACACACACACAGTGTCTTGCAGATAGGGTCAGACCCAATCTGTATGCTTATCACACTTCCTCATTCTGGGGAACCCAAATGATGGAGGGACTAACCTGGGGGAGGAGAAGGTCCCCAGGAGAAGGGCACCTAGGGACTAGATTTTGCCAGAGAAGGCAGTAAGGCATCCAGGTTAGATGTATGGGGAGAAGAACCCAAAAAGAATAAAAGCTTGTAAGTATCTGGAGGGCAGGGACAGGTAGACTGATTAGAACCCTAGATGGGTGGGAGGCAGAATTCCCTAACCCCAGATCTCCCTGGTATTGTACGTTGATTCTAATAAGGCAATATGGAAGATACTTGAGCAAGGCAGGAGCAGGATTGAAGTCTGTCTGGGGAGTAGGGTTGTTATAGTTATTTCTCCATCTTAATTTCTTAGGAATCTGCATACCTCTTCTACTTATTTATTTTGCTAAATTAACAACATATATTTATAATGTGTCATCTGAAATTCTCATAAAATACGACATTAACCTATTATACTTCCACTAAGCTTCCAAAGCTTTATAGTGCTTTCCCAATATCCCCTTCATCTAAAGGGTGAGTACCTTGACAATGAAGGATGTTGAGAACCAGCTGAGCATTCTAGGTTACAAACTGTCATTATCTATCATCTATTTATCATCTATCTATGTCTATCTATCTATCTATCTATCTATCTATCTATCTATCTGTCTGTCTGTCTGTCTGTCTCTGTCTACCTACCTACCTATCTATATATTCATCCATCCATCCATCCATCCATCCATCCATTGTGGACTGAACTGTACCCCTATATTCATATGTTGAAACCCTCTAGTACCTTATAATGTGACTATATTTGAAGAAAGTCTGTAAAGGGATTAAGTTAAAATAGCATTGTTCAACCTGATTGGTGTCCTTATCAAAAAAGGACAGAGGGGCCCAAAGGATGCATTCATACACACAAAGCAAAGATCAGGAGAGGATGCAGAGAGAAGGTGACCATCTACCAGTGAAGGAAAGAGGCCTCAGAAGATTATTAGCACATTACTTTTATATTTCTGGTCTCCAGAGCTGTGAGAAAACAAACAGCCATTGTTAAAGCCAGTCTGTGCTATATTGTTTATAGAAATGTGGGCAAACTAATACTGCATCCATCTACCCATCCATCCATCCATCCACCCACCCACCCATCCTCCCATCCATCCATCCATCCATCCATCCATCCATCCATCCATCCATCCATCCTATATCTCATGACTCTTATTATTCAAGTAAGCTGGCTTGCTCTAGAGATAGAAAAGGAACAGGTCAAGTCTCTGTCCTGTTCTAGAGTGGCTAGCTGTAACAGGAATTACAGCACACCGTGACGAGTGCTATGACCCACTTGGAAGCTGGAGATGTGGTAGGGAGGGATGCTTTATCCAGGATGGTAGTAGAAGCAGGAAATGTATCAACAAGTTGCATTCCTGCAACTGCAGGGAAACAGTCTGCTTACACTCAGAGTCAGAAGGGATTAAAGGAGGAAATATAGTGAGAGAAAGCAGCAGGAGTTGAATAGGAAGGATTTTAAGTGTCATGCTTGGCTAGTGGTTCTCATAACTTCTTTTTATGTCTATAAGAAATTTAAGAAGTGAAACCTCTCCATCCACAGCATGGTAAGATGGAACAATTATAGAGGTAATTACCAGCTACAGGCTGAGAGGGAGGCCTTTCCCCTCCCTTCTCAGTTTGAGATTCCTGATGAATATGAAGCATCATGTCCTTATCTGAAGGTCAAATGGATTAGCTACTTTCATGCCAAGCCCTCTCTTACCTATTCTACATTTGTATGCTAGTTGAGTGTGAACTGTAGGCTCAGTTACCCAGATGCCCATGGAGGCAAGTGTTTCCCAGAAGAAACACTTTTATTAATTAGTTTTCTTGTTGCTGTGATCAAATATCTGACAAGAGCAACTTAAGGAAGGAAGGGTTTATTTGGGCTCGTAGTTTAAGGGGGTACAGTCCAACATGGTGGGGAAGTAAGGGTGGTAGGACCACAAGCAGGCAGTTGGTCACACTGCATCTTCAGTCAGGAAGCAAAAAGATGCTGGTGCTTACCTAGCTTTCTCCTTTCTTTCAAATTTATTTTATCTGTATGAATGTATTGCCCGCATATGTGTAAGTGCACCTGTGTCATGCAATGCCCGCAGAGGTCAGAAGAAGGCATCAGATCCCCTGGAACTGGAGTTACGGACAGTTGTTAGCTGCCACATGGGTGGTGGGAATTGAACTTAGGTCCTCTGCAAGAGCAGGCAGTGCTCTTAATCACTGAGGCATCTCTCCAGACCCTTCCTTTTTTAAAAAAATATTTTTATTGAGAATTTCATACATGTATACAATATAGTTTTATAATATACCCCCAACTCCACTTAGAGTCCCCTAAAATGTCTCCTTCAAAATTTCATGTCCCTTAAAAAAAATAACCCATTGAGTCCAATTGAGTCCATGCTGCCTGTGTGGGGCCATCCACAGGAACACAGGTAATCTAGCAGTGGGAACACCCTCAGAAAAGAATGATTCTGCCTCCCCATCCAGTCTTCAACTGCCAATAGCTCCTCATTAATGGATGGGGCTTAGAGAATATCTCCCCCATCTATGTCGGAATTTTGGCTGGCTTCATCTTGTGCAGGTAACCACAGCTACTGTGACTTCATGAGTGCAATGGCCACACCATGTTCAGAAGATGGCACTTCACAGCACTCCTCCCCACTCTCTGGCTCTTGTATAGAATTTTAGTCATGTGATAGTCAGAACATTTATTGAGCCTACTATCTGCCAGGCATCATTCTAGACACTGGGGATAGAAAATTGAATTAAATAAAGTTCCCATTAATGGAACTTGGAGCTTATTTTTATGAGAAGAAGCAGGTAAGAAGAAACAGACAAATAACAAGGTATGCCAGAGAAAAACAAATGCTAATGAGAAAATAAAGCAAGTAAAGTCCACACCATTTGGGGTGTGCAGTTGGTATTTTATACACGACAGTCAAGGCAGCATTTGAATCTGAGAAAGTCCAGGAGACTGTCATGTGTTTACCTAGGCTGACTGGGCACAGGGAGCACAAAGGCCCTGAGGTAGTAGGATACCTGGCATACTGAGGAAAAATAAATGGGTCAGTGTGGCTGCATGGCAGTGAGCAGGGCAGAGGAACGGGTTGCGAGCAGAGTTGCATCAGGAGGCCAAGATGAGGATGGAGACTCCATTGCCAAAACTTTGGCTTTGAGTGTCCTGGCAAGTCATCGGAGGGTTTGTGACACAATTCTGCTTGTATTTTAATAGACAGGTGCTGGCTTTTGTGCTCAAAACAGATAACAGGGTACCACATCCTTAAACAGGAAGTCCAGGTTGGAGGTTATTTCAGTAACCCAACTGTGAGCTGTTGGTGGCCACATCAGTGATGCAGCTCATGGAAAGTGGAAAATGTTGGATATAATTTGAAGGAAAAGCCAACAAAATTTGCTAATATATTGCCTTGAGAGACAGGGTGACCTTGGCTCTTCTAAGGACAAGTATGAAGTAGGGCTCTCCCTGTGATTCAATTTAGAGAACAGTAGGAACTCATGGCTTGGCATCTGGGAGCCTTGCCAACCCAGAATAGAGAAGAGGCAACTGACATTCCTGGGGGCTTTCTATTCAGGCAGTCTAACTGAAATGTGGGAAACCAAGAGGGCTATAGGCTCTCAGAGCTCCACCTTATAATTTAGTCCATCCAATCTGAGGATGTCTGCAGGCATCTTGGAGCAGCCACGTGTTGGGGTAGAGATGTGTCTGGCTCCTCCTCTGCTCCACCCACATTCCTGACTATTCTACACACTGTAGGATGGAAAAGAAAGGAAAAAGGGGTAGAGGAGTGGAAATCAGGAGGAAAAGCAAAGGGAGGTCCACTAAAAACATTCTGTGCCAATTCAGAAAAGGGGGGGGGGCAGAATGAAAATCTCCAAGAAGAAGTATCAGTCCCTAGAAGGTTTACTTCCACCACTGCTTGCTGGACTCTTCCTCCTCTCAGTGTAACCAAATACCCTACTTCAGAGGAAAACACTGCCTGCTTTATAAAGTTAAACACATGGTAGCCTGTGGTTTGTAAGCCACATATGGTGTGGGGAGCCCCCAGGAAGGATGAAAGGAAATCGTTCAACTGTGGACACAGAAGCTCTGCGAAATTAGGCTTTCCCAGTGGCTCTGAAAATAGTGTTAGCTACCCTTCACAGAGCCTTGCCACAGGAGCTCAGGATTGTATATAGTCACTCAGGCAATCCTCACAACAAACTGGTGAAGTCATTCTTGCTGCTCCATCTTATAGAGGAAGACACTGAAGTTCAGGGACATCATGCTTTGCGAGTCTATTCCAGAGTTTGTGTCTTTAACCTTTATGCCCAACGGCTCCCAAAGGAAAAGAGAGGGAGATGCTGAATGTGGTAACAGTTTTCTTCCCTCACCCTCTATTCCTTTAGCAGGGGGTATATGTGCTTCAATGTGGAGGTCAGAGGAAAATCTTGGGTACCATTCCTCAGGCATGACCCACCTTTCTTTTTTTGATACAGGGTTTCTTACTGGCCTGGAAATCAAGTAGGCTGGGCTTGCTAGCCAGGGAGCTACCAAGCCTGGTTTGTGTGTATGTGTGTGTCTGTATGTTATATGCGTGTGCGCATGCTCATGCACCCCCATATGGAGGCTACAGGTGGGTGTCAGGTGTCCTGTCATTCCACCTTATTCCCTTGGGACAGGGTTTCTCAATGAATCTGGAGCCAGCAAGCCCCAGTGACCTTTATATCTCTGCCCTCCCCCTAACATTAGGGTCAGACTCCCACACAGTCGGCTAACTTTAAGTGGGTGCTAGGGATTCAAATTCATACTTACCCAGAAAGTACTTTTATTCACTGAGCCATCTTCCCAGTCATGGGACGGGTTATTTTTTAACATGGATTTGGAAATCAAACTCAGGTCCTCATGCTTGTAAAGCAAGCACTTTATCCTCTGAGCTGTCTCCCCAGTCCATCACCCTCTATTCTTCCTACGCTAAAAGGCAAAAAGGTGAGAAAACTTCCATTCTCATTTCTGGCCTGCATTTGTATAAACTTAGAAAAAAATCTAAATATCACTGATTTTTAAAAAATATTTTTATTTTATGTGTATGATGTATCCCCTGCATGTATGTAAGTGCACCTATGTCGTACAATGCCTGTGGAGGTCAGAAGAGGGCATTGGATCTCCTGGAACTGGAGTTAGGGATGGTTGTTAATCACCATGTGGGTCCTGGGAATCGAACCCGGGTCCTCTGCAAGAGCAGCCAGTGCTCTTAACTGCTGAGCCATCTCTCCAGTCCCATCACTGATTATTTTTGCTAAGAAACAGAGTAATATGATAGTAAGAAATATTTCAGAGATGCACTTTACAGAAAAGTACATCCTGGCCTTGCAATCCAAAGGGGAAGTTAGGTACACCTCTCAAGGTCACAGAGTTCAGTGCAAAGCCATGGCTCATAAAGTAGACAGGGCTTCTGTCTCCCAGGCCAGAGACTGGCTGGGTCCCAATGGTCCGCCCTATATTATTCCTGCCTCTGTCCCTAGCAGTGAGATGACAGCCTGAAGGACAAGGATCTCATTTTGCACATCAGAGATTTTAAACACACCTTGAACTTAGGTGATTTTTTTTTTTTTTTTTTTTTTAGGTCTCTTTGAGACAGAGTCTCCCTGTAGCCCTAGCTGGCCTGCATTCGGTATGGAGACCAGGCTGGCCTCGAACTCACAGAGATCCACCTGCCTCTGCCTCCTGAGTGCTGGGATTAAAGGTGTGCGTCACCACGCCCGGCTAGGTGAATATTTTTTAAGCAAGGTTACCCTGAACACCTTGTGATTATCTACCTTTTTTTTCATCTATTCTCTGTGCCCACAGGTCGGAGATTCTGGGCCCTCTTGAACCAGGAGGCTTCTGCCATAGCTCTGGTATTCAGCTGATGTGGGGATGTTCCTCTCTGGCTGGGGCAGATAGATTACACTACAGGGCGGTTCTGGTCCAGACGCTGCAGTCATTTACTCTGTGTAGTTTCCCCACACTCACAGTGACTCTTCTGCTTGCTTTGCTACCATCCACTGGCCTTCTGCAATCTGGACCCACTCCACCCAGCTCATCTCTGTATGCAGTACACATCATTCAAGTCAAGACAGGTGTCCTGGGCTCACCCCACTTCCGTCCCAGAAATAGCCTTCCTGCTCTCCTACTATGCAAATCCATTCTCCAAATTATTCTTCATTTTACGCCCTTTGTGCAGGTCAAAGTTTGCTTTCCAAGTTCTCCTTACATTTATATGCTCAACTCTCAGATAGTAGCCCTTGACATGTGCCTGCAAATCTCTCCAGGTGTAAGGCAGTCCCCTTGAAAACAGGCACATACATGTGCATTCAGTCATTAGATTTTTAAAATAGAAAATTTTAAGGCGAGAAATGGAAAGAACGATGAGCAGTGGTTGTTTCCTGTCCTCAAGGAAGGCAGACACAGACATTTCTTTGGTGCATAGTGGGCTCTCACAAGAGCCTTACTCTAGTTGACTAGCATATGTAACCCTTCCTTGCAATTACTTGATGAGTCCCATGAGAGTTATTGGGTCACAGTCAAAGTACCAAAGCTGTGGTGTTTGAACACGGCTTAACATACAGACAGGAAGTTTTTTTTTCCCCCTTAAGCAGATTGGGAGATTACAGACAGCCACTGGGTGCAGGGGGAAAGTCTTAGAGCCATGTTCAGGGAAACAACGGATCTGAGTTGAGGACAGTGGGCAAGTTTAACTTCCCCCCAGCCCTGGTTTTCCTCCCTTTTGGAGGTGATGAAGTCCCACAAGCTTCAGTTCAAATCATGGGCGTGTGTGACCTTAAGCCATTCAGTAGGGGTGGAGGCTCAGCTTCAGAAATTAGCTAAATAATTCCTTTCAAGGCTTTTGTGATGTCTTAAGAACACATTTAAGTTGGTAAGCCTGGAGTCTGATACTGTTATATCCTTCTATAAAGGTAAAAGTGATAATTCTGACCTGTGTCACTCAAGGTGCGGGTGTTGGTGGTTTCCCAACTCTTCTTTTCCTATTTCTTCCTTTTAAAAAAAATGTTCTTAGATTATTTCTAGAAGTTCAATTAGGTGCTTTACTTTTCTGACTCTTAACTCCCGGAGCGTGCCAGGAGGAGGGGCTGTGGTGACACTGAGTGATACCCTAAAAGAACAGTTAAAAGGCCTTGGGAGGAGGGCTGTCTACTGCGACTGGCTGGACCAAGATATAACCTCGGACACATCGCCGTCCTAGGACCCTCAGCTAACGCTTCCCAAACGTGCTTTGGAAGTCCTGTGGTCTGCAGAGAGTCCCCAAGAGAAAAGACAAGGCCTAGACCCGCGGGGGGGGGGCTCGCACGGCGGGCCGGGGGGGCTGGGGTGGGACAGAGGGGGTGTCTGGTTCCCACACTCCAGAGCCGGGGCTCCCCGCGCCCCCTGCACCGCTCCCTCGGCCCAGGTCCGGCCGGCGCGGGGGTCGCCCGGCCGCACTCAGCCGCGCACCCCCCCGGGGAGCCTTCGACGCTGCTCGGCCGAGGGCCAGGCCGGGGGTTA